GCTGCATTTCTCCAAACCTGATGAAGAAACAAACTCATCTACATCATGCACATTTTCATCAACTTTTCATTTTTGCCTGAATTATTCCTTTAATGAAAATAGAAATGGGAGTTATCAAAAGAATGAGCAAGAAACCAAAACTATGAATGTGCATTACAATATAAACTAAGATTATATCAGAAAACGACATTATTTTTCACATTTTAATCTATGTTGGCTGGTCTGATTTCATTCATTTCTCAAAAGTCTTGACTTCTGACCATCTGTGTTTCTGTCCAAGTGAAGTCAATATGGCTGAATCATAAATACCCAGAGTGATGGTAGCTACAACTTACTGCTAAATATAGCAGCAGTGGTACATTTATAGCACATTTAATGGACAGCACTGCACTTATCTGGTGTTGATCAATATGTAGTTTCTTATAAACTCGGGTGTTCTCATTATAGGCAGATATAAGAGATGAAAACTAAAACTTACAGGCTACACTGAAAAAAATGGTTACATCTAAATTAGCTGGTTTCCTTTACATTTAATATTGTTAAATCAACCTAAATACGTTTTCTGGGAGCCTGCCAGTTTGGGTGAGCTCACCTCTTTGAATATGAAGAAGTTAAGGACAACCATGCTGAAGTTGTAGATGATGAGGGTCTTCCTCAGCTGGAAGGGCTCTCGGCCCTGCATGTACTTGGGCCCCAGCCAGAGAAACAGCAGGTACGAGGAGCTGATAGCCAGCGTGGGGAGCGGAGAGTCCATCAACGGCCATTTCTGCACACGCTTGTCTACACACATACATCAGTAACTATAATGATAACCTCAACTATAACGTTTAAATGATCATTCTATATGAGAACAGCAAAGTCCACATCAGAGCTATAATGATGATGACTTTCAGAATGTGTTTTTCTTCCACCTGATGAGCGATAAAAACACTGACAGCCAATCAGCATCCAATGTGCTTTAAACAGCTTGTGCATTTAAAGCAGCAGACAACAAACCTGCCGCATACGCTTATAGCAAACAGAACGTTATCATCTGTTGGTGCGGATGCTAATATAGTTATCGTTATGAGTTTATTT